TGAATTCCACAACCTTAATTGCCATTTTTACTCTGAGGGACCCTAACTTGTTCAGATTTAAACCTTGATTTGATCACTGATTTTATCCTTGCAGATCTAATCAGCCTTTTTTACTCAAAGGTCTTTTCAGTTTTATCATTTAAGAATGAAAAGGATTGTATGTGCAACTCTGCAAATTCCCATAGTTTTGGACTTTACTCCCTATTTTTCTTGCTTTCAAACTGGCCAATTCTTTCTAAAGCTCATTTCTTTCTTACATTACTTTGTTAAACTCACTGAGACATAAGCTACTAATTCTGGTTTTCACACTGTGTTTAAAAAACAAAACAAAACTGCAAGCTAATAGGTACATTATCTGCCTTCCATGGTTTTACCAAATGTTTAAGTCTGCCGCTTGGACTCTGAGCCGAAGCCAAGTGTTTTAGATTGTGTTGTGGATTGTCTTTTTCTTTTTTTCCCCCTACAAATCCTTTGGAGGAGGAAATGTCAACCCAGTCCAGTATTATTGCCTGGAAAATCCCATGGACAGAGAAGCCTGTTGGGCTACAGTCCATGGGGCTGCAAAGAGTAGGACATGACTGAACACCCGAGCGCGTGCGCGCGCGCGCACACACACACACACACACACACACACACATACACACACACAGCAATACTCCACTTCAGAATGCTAATTTCTGTATTAATTGTGTTAGAATATGTGATGATGTGATAAATTATCTCTAAGTTTTAGAGACCTAAAACAACAAAAATTCACTTACTGTTCATGCTACATGTCCAGATGGGTCAACGAAAGGAATGCCCATGGTGGACACTCAGTGACCACCAACTTTATTGCTGGATGCAATGCCAGAGAAAAAGAGTTTTGAAGAGTCTGGAACTGACAATGAAATTCTTGGTCCAAATATATTCCTTCCATTCACAACTGAACTAGAGCTACATATATGGCTCCACCCAACTGTAAAGGAACTTGGATATTCAATCCCATCATATGCTTGGAAGGCAGAAAGCCAAAACTGTATAGTGAATAGCATTAATGATATCTAGTTGATACTTGAAAAGGACACTTATTGTTGAAAAATACACAAAGTATAATGAAGATGATAAAAAATCATTAAAAGTTTACCCTCATGGATAATGGAAAATATTTTTATGTCCTCTTTTCTAGTTTTTCATTTTTTAATCATGTTACATTTATCTTCTGAATATATCCTATGCTATTATTTCCCCAATTATTTTACATTAAGATTGTTTCCATTTTTTTCACACTTAGAAGTGGTAAATTGTACATAAACCCTTGTATATCTTGTTACACAATATTTTTCTGCAGTGCTGACCTTATCACCTAATAAGGTGATACTTATTAGGCTGATATGTTGAGGATCTTAACTTATGGCTTTTAAGTTAACTTTTAAGGATCTTAATTTATGGCTACAATTGCTTTCTGAAAAGGTAGGCATCAGTCTATACTTGCATAAATTGAGCAGCAAAGGACTATCCCACTGCTGCATTTCAGCACTGACTGCTACACCTTTAAAAATAATTTTCTTTCTATCCTATCTTTGGAAATCTTTACAGTGAATACCACATCTTATGAAGGTAAGTAATTATCAAGATACAGGTGACATATCTAGCAATAGGCTTTGTTTTTGTTTTTCTGGTATCACAGAAAAATGACATTCAGAAAAATGTCAATCAATTTGATTTTACTTAAGCTGTGAGACAGAAAAAAGTGTAGTGAGACAGGAGGCTTTCTAACTGGGCCTATAAGAGGTTAAACGTTTCTCTTTTGGATGTAGTTTTAGTAATAAACTGCCAGAATTATTTGGCCACATTTGGAATCATGCTTCCTCAGAGACAGTCTGGCACAGTGGTGGAGAAACAAGTTTTCCTTAAGCCTCTTAGGGTGCCTGGCTGGATATGGAAATTAAATGGACAAAGACAGATTAATAGAAGAAAACTATACACATTTATCTAATATCAGTTTTATGTGACATGGGAACCTTCATAAGGAAATGAAGACCAGAAGAAATAGTTACACCTGAGTGTCGCCTTGCTAGAGTTGAAGAGTGATGTTGTAGAACGAGAACAATGATAGGATACAGATTATCAGCTAAGTGTGCTTTCCCACTGGCTCAGCAGTAAAGAATCTGCCTGCCAGTGTAGGAGACAAGGGTTCGATCCCTGGGTGGGGAAGATCCCTTAGAGAAGGAATGGCAACCCACTCCAGTATTCTTGCCTGGAAAATCCCATGAACAGAGGAGCCTGGCAGGCTAAGTTCATGGGGTCATAAAGAGTCAGACAGGACTTAGTGAATAAACAACATCAGCTAAGTGTAGTAAAAGGAGGGGAGATTAGTGAAGCCTTTTCACTCAGATTCCTCTTTGTGTCTCTCTGTCTTTGGAGATCAGGAAGTTCCTTTCCCATGGGTACGGGGAGAGCACCTCTCACATGAGGATTTTATGACCTGCTTCGAGAGAAGTTCAGAAAGTCCTTCTAGTACCTCCCATTTCCTTCAGCTTGGAATATTCAATATACCAAGGAGTCATTTTGCAGGGTAGTGTATCCAGAATGCTATAAGCACATACATGTTGGAATAGTTGGCACATATGATGTTAAGGGTCAGTCTAGGCCAGGTTTGATTCCACAGGTGAGTTGGCCCTGCATTATTGACTCTGTTCTGAGATCTCTCATTATTTCCTGGAAAGGAAGGATCCCAACTTGGATTATGGTGTTCACGTCCATCTACAGTTAATCTTTGTTTCCACCTCCAGCCCAAGGCACTGCTTTTCTACTTTCTCTCTTCACATATTTGTCTTTTCTGGTTAAGTGTGGCATTATGTGTATAGTTTTTTTGTACTTAGCAGGATTTTTTTGAGCTTCATCCTTGTTATAGCATGTATCAGTATTTCATTCCTTTTTATTTCCAAGCAGTATTACCTTGTGTGTGTGTATATATATATCTCAACATAAAGCATTTTATTTATCTATTAAGCAATTGATGGCCATTTAGGTTATTTCTGCTTCTTGGCTATTATGTATAATGTTATGAATTTTTGCTTATAAGTGTTTGCTTGCATGTTTTCATTTCTCTTGGGGGATTATTCAGGAGTGAATTTTCTTGGTCACATGGTAAATTTATGCTTAACTTTTGAAAAACTGATCAACTATATTAAAAGATGGCTGTAACATTTTACTTCCCCACCAGCAATGCATGAGAGTTCTCATTTCTCCACATTCTTGACATTTGCTGTTATCTGTCTTTTTGATTACAGTCAGTATGGAGTGATATTTCATTGTTTTAAGTTGTGTTTCTTTAATGACTAATGATGTTGAGCACATTTTCATGTGCATATTAGCCATTCATGTATCTTCTTTGACAAAATGTCTATTCAATTTTTGTCCGTTTTAAAGTAGGTTATCTTATTTTTGAGTTGTAAGAGTTCTTTGTGTATTCTGAACACAAATCCCTTACCAGATGTGTGATTTCCAGATATTTTCATGGTGTTCTTTTATTCTAGTGGCTTGGATATATTAGTCAGAGTATGCTAGGTGATACTGCTGAAAAAAAATTTCAGTGGTTTTAAACATCAAAGTTATTTCATAATCATGTAAATTTTGTTATGGGCTCAGGCAGCTGTGTTCTATGTGTTGGCTCACTGATACATGTTCCTTTCAATACATGCTTCTATGAGCACCAAGGCAAAGACAGCATTGGAAAGTCGCAGTGAAATTCTCCCATCCAAATATGAGACATATCAATTCTCCTTACATTTCTTGGCTGAATGAATCATATGACCATGTCTACCATCAAAGGGAGAAGGCCAGTCCCTCCACATGAAATTGAGGACAAATAGAATATTGGTGAGCAGTATTACTGTTAGGGAAACCATTGAGCAAAACTGCCCACCCTGGCCAGGCCTGATAGTAAGCCCTTGCTTGAGTTATCTTAACTAACAAGCTACTACCCACCGGAAGAATTCAGGAAAGGCCAAAAGGAGAGAGGAGATGCCAGCCCATATGTCCTACCAATCTCCCAGAATCTTTCTTGCTGGATTTCATCTTGGCTGAGCAATGCACATCACACAAGGAAGGACCCTGAGTCAGAATGATTGGCCAGAGAGCCTGGAAACTAATCCCATCACCATAAAACCTGACACTGTCAGCCACATGGCAGAGCAATTTTCCTGGATTCCCTTACCCTCTCGCTCTCCACCCCATTGCCCCTTCCCAATAAAATCTCTTCTTCTGTCAGCACGTGTGTCTCCTCGGACAGTTCATTTCTGAGTGTTAGACAAAAGCCCACTCTCCTGCCCTGAAGGGGTCCCCCTTCCTACTACCCTACTATGTATTGTGTTGGTGCAGGTGACAGGTTAAGAAAAAAGAAGCAAAGGTATGAAGATACTTTTAGAAACAGGTGAGTGCTATTAAGATGGAATAATAACTAGGGGGACAAATTCAGACTCGATGATCAGAGTCTCTCTGAAGAGGGCTCATTGGAGCTAAGGCTCCAAAGAAAGTGAGGCAGTTAAGTGAATATCAGGGAGGAACCGACAAGGCCAAGAGGCAGAAGCAGGGCCGGGGAAACCCCCCTTGGTGGGGATGTAAATCTTATTCAAAAAGTGCAATGGAAAAACAATGAAGTGTTCGAACAGTGATCAAAGCTGATGTACATTTAAAAAATATCTTACTGGGTGTGGTATCCAGAATGAATTGAAGGGGAACAAGGCCGAAAGGCTGGGTTGATTTGGGTGGTAGAAATAAAGTTGGAGAGTGTGCAGTTAATGGGATGTACTAACCAAGCTAGGAAAAGAGGGATTAAGGAAGACAAGTGAGTCTTGAATTTAAGCTCCTTGGTGGGTGCTAGTGCAGTTTAACAAGAGTGAAGAACGGGAGGAAGTTCTCACTAAATTTTACATGCTTATCAGACATTAGAGTGGGCTTTTAAGTGTAGGGATCTGAATATAAAATATAAATTAGGGAATTACACATAGATTTACCTCATTGTTTTAAAATCTTCATAGCCATAGGTCTGGCTCACTAAATGTGCCATTGGCCATATAATAAATAGTTATATTCTTGGTTAAACTGGGTGGATTCCAGTGTCTGAAAAAAAAAATTGTATTACAAGCAATGCACAGTTAAAATTTCTGTACAATATCTTAGTTATTCTTGTGTACTGTAACTTTAGTTCAGTTCTGAAAATGGAGTTGCTAATTCTAAGGATATATACATTTTTACTTTTTTTTTTCTTTTTTTTGCACTTTACATTTTTGAGAGGGGCCAAAATCCTTAGAAATGTTTGTACCTTGTCTAGGCTTGCAACAACACTGATGCTTCCCCACATTGGGCAACAATGGGTATTACCTACACTTTTTAATTTTTGCCAATCTAATCCTCAGAGAAAGCGATCCTGTTCTGATTTCAGCCTGTATTTCTTAGTCGTGGAACTGGATTTCTGCATACTAGTCAGCCACCTGCTTTTCTTACTCATGCTCTCTTTGACTCTGAAGCTATGTATATACATACCCTGTGTCCCAATAGGTGTCTGGCTGAGGAATCTGAGCACAGGGTGGACAGGGTGGTGAGCTCTTTTTTGGCAGGGACAGTGAGCCGTCCATCCTGCGCCCTGAGCACCTGGCTACTGGCCCTGGATAGGTGACAAGAAGAGAAACAAGCGTGGCGTGGGGAGAACAGGGCTAGGGAGATAAGGGCATAAAGAAGGATCATTCAGATTCTACTGCGCACAGGACACAGCCCCGGGGAAAATCCCCGCACTCCGGCCGGGGAATCCTCTGGCCGCTCTCCAGCTTGGTTTCAAAAGTTGCAAAACTACTGGGGGCATCCTGACAGCCGCTGTCCCAGGTCCCGGCTCCCCGCCCGAGGGCCCCAAACCGCAGAACCGCGGGGTGGGGTGGAGGGGCGGTCTCCAAGAGAGCGGGAACAGAAAACCGAAACCAAAACCTGCCCGCCAGCCCAGGCTCCCCCAGCTCTGGGCCCCGCCGGCCGCCGAAGGCGAGTCTCTCCTCCGCCATGGCAAGTTGCTTTTGTTTTGGGTTTTGCAGGGCGGAGTGGTCCCCGTGCCGTCATCCGGTCCCCCAAGATCCGGAGGACTGGCGAGTGAGGGGTGACCGGGGGAGGGGCAGGGAGGACCCCAGAGGCAAACCCAGCCCAGCCTGTCCGCACCTGCCCGGGGGCAGTTCGCGCGCTCCTGAAATTGACCGCAGCTGGGCGGCCAGCCCCGAAGGCGCGCATCGCCGCGGCCGCCTCGCCCACTCGGTGCCCGGCCGGCCGGGACACAGCCGTTTGGTCCAGGAGCGGCCGTGTTAGGGCTAACTGTTGTCCTCCCACGCTTTGGGGAACAGGAGCGGAGAGAATTGCCTAGAAATGGAGGCCACCGTTTTCCTTTGTTAAAGGGCCGGCCAGAAGGGTTGGAGCCAAGGACACAAGTTGGGAAAGCAGCCTGGTGTCTTAGGGGAATTCCTTTCTCTTGTGGCCTTAGTTCTTTCTCTAGACACAAAGGGCTTTGTGTCGTCACCATCTCTGATGCCTCGCAAGAACCGTTAGCAAATTTAAGATTTTAGCCTTCCGTGTTCTTTCCATCGGGTGGGGAAATCCCCTGGAGGAGGCCACGGCAACCCACTCCAGTATTCTCGCCTGGGATATCCCATAGACAGAAAGGAGCCTGGAGGTCTGCAGTCCAGGGGGGTCCCACAGAGCTAGACAAACCTGAGCGACTAAGCAGGCAGACGCCTTTTTTCCATTAAGCGCCTGAAAGCAGTGTCAGGGCCCTTCCCTTTCAGGTGAGAAACGCCAAAGCAGTTCTGAGTTTCAAGTGTGATTTTGTTTACCGGGGGCGGTAAAGGAAACCTGAATGAAACCAATTTTAAGAAAAGGAATGTAAGTCAACAAAGTGGATAAATTTAATTATTTCTGCCTAGTGCTTTCCTTACAAAAATAAATTCAGTTTTTCTTTATATCTTTTTGCTTTCTGATAGGATGGTCAAAAGTCTCTTAAAACGTATCACTGATACAGGGAAAATGCCATCACCTTGATACCTCCTGCTCAGAAAGTTGCTCTTATCTCAAAAAAACTGTATCTCCATGTGGTAACTATTGAAAGGGCTATCTCCAAGACCTCTCTTTTTCTTCTTAATGTGGATGAAAGAGATGAATAGCCGTCTTTTGATTTCAAAGATAAATTTTAGACATTTGAATAAAGAAATATAACACTAGTATTGCTGAAGGTAGTGGCAAGGAAGTAAGATTCTGTGAATTTTAAATTGATTGAAAGTTTTTCTTTGATATTGATGAAGGACAAAAAGTATGCTTATTCATTAGCCACTTTAACCACGGGCTGTTAGAGCCAGATGCATATTGAATCAAGACAAATCTTATATGAAACAAGATTCCCTGAATGTCTGAATAGTCTGTCATTTTTTTTTCCTCTTCTAGAACTATTTTGAGATAATTACATCTTACACTTGGGGCTAGGATGGAGGAACACATTTTTATATTTTTACTGTCTCCTATGCAATCTAGTTGTCCCCAAGTATTTTAAGAAACTGTTTTGTTCCATTGAAAGTACCTACCATAACAAAGAGTCACTTATGAATTTCCCTCTTAGGAGACACGAAGGACCTTTGCTTTCTTTGTCTCAACAGAAGCTATTTGCATCCTCCACTCCTCTGTCCCTTTGTTTTGCTGTGAACTCTTTTTGCATTTTTAATTAAATTTGACCATTAATTAAAATTTGACCTCAGCCGTCAAGGTCTCTTTCATGAAGCCTTCTTTGACTGCTTTAGCCAGCATTAATCTTGCTTCCTAATTCCGAATGGCTTCTATTGTGTGTTTTAGCATTTTCTTGTGAATGGTCTTGTATCCTTCTCACATTTTGGGGTGTTGGTCTGTTCTTGTAAAGAAGAAGACCTTCCTCTCTTTGTGCGTACCAAGCACTGCTAAAATGATTTATATGTGTGTCTGCCTCCTCACCCATAAGGGAGGTCCCCTTTGTGTGTGTGTTGGTAATCCTAAAGCCTATCCTGGTGCCCCACACATAATAAATGTTCAGTAAATTTTTATGTTTATGGTGGAACAATTTCAGGGTAACGGGTGTTTTATAACTTGTGTGTATAATCTTTGGTACCCAACATATTGCCAGGGATAGAACACATGTTTAGTTAATACTGGATTAGTTAATTGATCAACTGATTGACAAGATATTATGTATTCTAAGAAATGCAGGTACATTTTTGCCACCCTATTTTAATAACTACCAGTTGAAATATCAAAGGAGACACTGAGAGATCAGTTATCATTGACTTTAGTCATTTCCTATTGAATTCCTGTTGTGATAAATGAGGATTTCACTGAAGTGAACTCTGACTTTTCCCCTCTTCCAAGTTTGGAAGTTTTAATAGTATTTTAAATTCCCCTATGGACTATTTTTGTTTCTTTCATAATACACTTAGATTTTGATAGTATTTACATGATCTTCTGTAATAGAAGTACAGATTTTTTTTTTTTCTCAACTTTTGTTAGTTTTGTCTTTATTCTTCTATTGATAGGGTTGAATGATTCCATTTTATTCTGTAATCATATTTAAGTCTTCAGTAATTTTGAAGATTTTTACAGAATTCATCTAAAAGTTTATGAGAGTGTTCATATGATTATGCAAACAGTAAATATTGTTTACAGCAGGGTCTAATAGATTCTGAATTACTTTTTCTCCTTTTGGTCCAATGTCATGTGTATTTTTCCTTTTTCTAGTTACAAAAAAATATTCCTAACAGCTGTGTCAAATAGAGTCTTTATTTATAGTCTGTAATTTATTCCAAACATGTCATGCTTTAATTTTCTGATGATCTTTAGGCTTGGGCTTTTTCAAATACCAGAAAGGGTGGGAGGGGTGTTTGCCCATACTAGCAGGTCAGATTCTCCCTAGAATGTTCATTTAGTTTTGTCTTGCTGCTAGCTTTTCAACTAATCATTCTGGTTTTGATTCCTTTTTTAATTTCTGAGGTTCTGCCAAGAAGGTTGTCCCCTTTCCATTGCAGCCTCCACTTCCTTACTCTGGGTTTCCCCTGTCATATCCTTCCACATACTTTTATGTCTTTCCATCTTCAAGAAATTTGTTGGAATCTCTCCTGTGCTGCTGATTGCTCCCCTTAACTGGATTTATTTTCTTTTTTATTCTATTTTCATTTTCATTTTAATGTACTCTTGGGATAGGACACTGTATGTGTGCTTAGACTGTTTTCTTTATCGGGGAGATCAGAAGCAGTTTGCCTATTGCCAGTAAAGTCTGACTCTGAGTTTACAGAGTCCTCTGAACTGAGAACCAAAACATCTTTGTGATCAGTCAACCATGACTTGGACACATGAGACATCCTGTCCTCCTTGGGGATAATTTAGGAATAAATTATATCTGAGCTCTGGTGTAATCAGGCTGGACTACCTATACAAGCATTGGGAGAAGTTTATAGGTCCAGTTCTCTAAATGAGCTGGGGAATAAATTAAAACATTAATATAAGAAGTTAACAGACAGTGTATTATAATCATGGGCTTCCCAAGTGGAAGTGAGAAATAAATTTAAGGGACTAGATCTGATGACAGAGTGCCTGATGAACTATGGACAGAGGTTCGTGACATTGTATAGGAGACAGGGATCAAGACCATTTCAAGAAAAAGAAATGCAAAAAAGCAAAATGGCTGTCTGAGGAGGCCTTACAAATAGCTGTGAAAAGAAGAGAAGCCAAAAGCAAAGGAGAAAAGGAAAGATACACTCATTTGAATGCAGAGTTCCAAAGACTAGCAAGGAGAGATAAGAAAGCCTTCCTCAGTGATCAATNTGGCTGACAGTTTTTTGGGCTCCAAAATCACTGCAGATGGTGATTGCAGCCATTAAATGGAAAGACGCTTACACCTTGGAAGGAAAGTTATGGCCAACCTAGACAGCATCTTAAAAAGCAGACAGATTACTTTGTCACAAAGGTCCGTCTCGTCAAGGCTATGGTTTTTCCAGTAGTCATGTATGGATGTGAGAGTTGGACTATAAAGAAAGCTGAGTGCAAAAGAATTGATGCTTTTGAACTGTTGGAGAAGACTCTCGAGAGTCCCTTGGACTGCAAGAAGATCCAACGAGTCCATCCTAGAGGAGATCATTCCTGGGTGTTCATTGTAAGGACTGATATTGAAGTTGAAACTCCAATACTTTGGCCACCTGATGCAAAGAACTGACTCACTAGCAAAGACCCTGATGTTGGGAAAGATTGAGGGCAGGAGGAGAAGGGGATGACAGAGGATGAGATGGTTGGATGGCATCACCGACTCAATGGACATGGGTTTGGGTGGACTCCGGGAGTTGGTGATGGACAGGGAGGCCTGGCGTGCTGTGGTCCATGGGGTCGCAAAGAGTCAGACATGACTAAGCGACTGAACTGAACTGAACTGAACAGAGAGTGAGCTCAGGGAAGGATCTGCTTGCAGCTGATCCTCTGTGCCCAGGGTTCCATGGTCTGCAATAGCGTGTGCTCTCAGCGGTTGGGTTGTATCTCAGATGTGTGCTGAAAGGTAGGGTTTACTCCACTGCAGTCCCAAAATTATCGCTAGGGTTTCATTTATTTATTTTTTTATGGTGACTTTTCCCTAGTTTTGACCAAAAAAAAAAAAAAAAAGAGAGAGAGAATGTATTTCTTACTGTCTTATGTTCTTTCAACTCTACATTCAAGGATACATACAGTCAACTCCAAACTACCACATTTTGTGATTAGTTTGACTTCTAAAAAAATTTTAATTTAGAAAACTCTCTTTTAATTTTCCTTCGTGATTACAATAATTTTTAGGTCTTTCTAACATCTGACAAATATTAACCAATGTTTTCCATTTTGTAAAAAAAAGGGTTTACTTTTTACATTTTAACTCTAAAATTTGTATAGCATTTATGCTGGTATATGGTGTGAGGCCAGGCTCCTATCCTTGATATTTTTCTTTTCAGGTATCTGATCAGTTCCAAGAGGACCTTTATTAAATAAAGACTATTAAATAAAATGACCTTTCCCACTGATGTGTAATATTGCCTATATTAAGTAGAATCATATAGTTAAAAAGTGTCCTATTGTTTCTTTCACAGGCATCAGTTTTGAATGTTAAGGAATCCAGAGCTTCTGAAAGAACAATTGTAGTTGCTGGTCTTCCAATTGGTCTTAATGACCAGTTACTGACCACATTAGTGAAGATTCACTTTGAAGATACTGATAATGGGGGTGGAGTTGTTGAAGATGTGACATATCCAACAAGAACTAAGGGAGCTGCCTATGTAACATTCAAAGAAAAAACAGGTATTTCCAAATCAAATTTTTATAACCTTAGAAATACTTCTGGAATGAAATTAAAGATTGAACTTCAGTAGAGTAATTCATGAGATGGTTGGATAGCATCACCGACTTGATGGACATGAGTCTAAGCAAACTCTGAGATAGTGAAGGACAGGGAAGCCTGGTGTGCTGGAGTTCATGGAGTCACAAAGAGAAGGACACAGCTTAGTGACTAAACAATAGCAGCGACAAGAACAACAACAACAAAATAGTTCATGGGATTGGTAAAGTTTAAATTTAAAAAAATAGTAATTCTATTCTTGAATATAAAAGTGGCCAATAGTGCATTAGAATATATGTGAAAGTGCCTTATGATAGAGTTGTCAGTAACTGGAAAAGTCTTAAAGACTTCTTGTTTTCTGTATTTTAAATCCATCTATATCATGAGATAAAGGTGATACACTTTATTGTAGAAAACTTGTAAAATACAGAAAAAAGCCCCACAGAAGCTATCCGTAATCTCATGAACAAGATAAGTACTGCTTTATTAATGGGAAAGTTGGACTGGGGAAATGTGGCTTGGATCTGAGGTCACATTGAGCCATTCTCTTCCTGGCTTATACCTGACATAGGTGAGAAAGTTGGGTCTGTGGAGCTGTTCACGCCTCTAGCTTCATGGATGGTGCATGTCAATGCCTTGAGAGAAGGGGGAGGGAAGGACAATTAGTGAAGGGGACTGACCAGGTCAGACAGTGAATCAGGAAAACCAGCTGGGATAGTGTGATACCCTGGATTCAGAAAGGTGAAGTCTCCTCATGACTATAATGAACAGAGTGGTGGGGGATTTACTTTTAGGTGTTATGTATGTAACATACATAACATACATGTGATTTATATATATATGTATGTATGTATTATGTATAAATTTTAATATGTTAAACTAGAAGGAAAAAGGATTTAAATGCTGAATTTAGAGGAAAAGCGGGAAAAAATCTTAGGTATTTTAAAAGAACTGAACATCTCCATTACTATTAATTAAAATAATTATTACTGTATTGTGCCACAAACCTTTCTGATGGCCCCTCTTCCACTTAGTTGCAGAGAATGTCGTCAGAAAAAAGAAACACTGTCTAGCAGACATGGTTGGATCTGCTCAACTCACAGTCTCCCATTTCAGTGAAAAGGTAGGTGTGATGGCTGCAGGCATGCCAATCGTCTAGATCCCATGTTTTCTGCCAAGTGTCTCCTACACGGAAGGCACAGAGCACCTCGCCCCATGACTTCTAGAAAAGAAAGTGCAAGCTCCTTAACCTGGGTCAGTGTTAAAGGCCAAACCTGTGTCCTGAAAGGTTTTTGGTTATTACTTGTTCTGTTTTCCTGTTTTTCTTTGATGCTCTTGATACTTTTAAAGTGACAGTGAGCTCTTATACTGTCATGGATGATGTCTGGCATCTACCTAAAAACTTATTTCCTGGGGTAAAAAACCAATTTGGATGAACATTAAAAAGGAGCTTTGAAGACACAAGTAAGGAGGAAATAAGAGGAAAATAAAATTCAAAGCACTGATTTAAAACTATTCTGTAACAAAGGTAGGGTTCTCTGCAACCATCCAATGAACTTCTCACGAGGAGGGAGGGCTTTCTCCAGGGATCCCTATCCATGGAGCACCACTGGAACAGTTGATCTGCGTTCTGCTTAAAACTTTGATTCAAAAAAACATTCTGCCTCTAAATAATATTTAATCAACTCTATCTGGGGGAATCCAGTGAGGAACTGTGAACCCCAAAATCAAACACTGTTGCCTTGATAGGTTGTGGGGCCCCTTTAATGAGCAGCTATGGGGTAAGAAGCCAAACTGTGAGGCTTTGGAGGCCTGGCTAGGGTGGCTCCTGGGCAGACAGAAAGTGGCAAAACAAGAATGTACTTATGCAATCTTTCCCCTAGGTGGTGCTGTTTTAACTTCTCTGTTTAATTTTAGGTCTTCAGCTCTCTAACGGCTGTTCTTGATCTTTCTGTTTTTCGGAGTCAAATCCATCTAGAAAGTCTGGTAATGGACCTGAAAAGGGAAATCCCAACGTTATGCTTAAGTCCTCTGGAAGCCAATGGAAGAATCTCCGTTCAAGGAACATTTCTGGCTATCGAGAAGCTCAAAGAATTTTTGCTATTAAAAGCAAGTTTTCTTTTAGAAAAAAATAGGAATAGACAGAGCCCCAGGGGAAGTACACGGAGAAGTAGTCACTCTTTAAAGCCACCCAGGTCGTTGACACCTGAGACTACGAAAAAAGGAGAAAGTCTTGTTCTTGACACAGATACTTTCCTTTACCTGAAAAAGAAGAGACAAGTTTATGAAAGCACACTGAGAAAATTTCATGTTCTATGTCAAGAGACAGTGGATGGTGAAGTTACCACACTTTGTATAAAGAATGCTCAAGGTGGTTCTCAGCCAAACAATGAAAAACAGGTGAAAGAGTTCATTGAGAAATATTCACATGCTCTTCACTTTGAGCTTAGAAAGGAGACATTTATTTTAGAAGGAAAGGAAGATAAAGAGAAAAAAAATATTAAGTTGGCATGTGAGCAGCTAAGTTCGAGTTACCTTCAGGTTCTGGTTAATTTCTATAAGACACACATTGATGTTATAGGACCTCCTTCTGACACATACTTGTTTAAAAAAGAGGTCATGGAATTCATAAGGCAAAAAGTTAGGTAATAAAATCCTCAGCAGTAGTAACAAGAAGGGCTGACTGATTCCTTCCCTTACTGAGCAGTGGTGATGTCATGTGTGATGCCCGCATTACACACATTATCTCATTTAATTTTTTTTTTTGGCAGTATCGCACAGCTTATGGGATCTTAGTTCCCCAACCAGGGATCAAACCTGGGCCCGCTGCAGTGGAAATGCCGAGTCCTAACCACTGAACTGCCAGGGAACTCCCTACCTCATTTAATTCTTGTGACCATCTTTCACCATAGGCATTGCCATTCTCATGCTACAGAAGAGACTAGGATTTGGGAAGGTAAAAACCATTGTCTGAAGTTCTGTAGCTGTCCATCAGTAAGAGTTAAACCCAAAGATAATATCTAAGGTATAAAACTTAAAAAACTCACTAAACTTTGAGGAAGCCTAACTTTTTATGCAACCCCAAATTCTTAGGAAAAAAATAGCCTTCAGTGAACTCAAACTGGGGCTCTGTGACAACCTCGAGGGGTGGGAGGTGGGAGGGAGGTTCAAGAGGGAGGGGGCATGAATATACCCGTGGCTGATTCATGTTGTTATATGGCAGAAATCAACACAATATTGTAAAGCAATTATTCTTCAATTAAAAATAAATAAATGTTAAACAGAGCCTTCATTCTAACATATAAGAAGTTTGAATATTATTATGCCATTGACAATATTTATACATTTATAAAGTTACATAAGCTTAACATTTATAAAGTTTATGTTTACTGCAAATAGAATTAAAATGTTAGCAAAACTTGCCTGAGAAGCTACTTAGATGGTAAGTATTTCTGATGCAGGTGGTCACTACTTGACTAAATCCCATATTGGTATAACGATACTGGACATACAGGACATTTTTCCTGCCGCTTACTTAGCTTAAGGGCTTATATAAAATGTTGATTCTCTTGTTGAAATTATGTAGTGTCTATTTTATAATTGTAAAAGTAATAGCATTTCAGCAATAGGATCGTGGACGATGCGAATAATAGCAAACACTTATTTGCTAGGCATAAGTTTAAGTGCATTGCATATCTTTACTCATTCAGTCCTGACAGGAACCCTGTGAGGTAGGAGCTGTCTTTATCCCCCTTTCTCAGATGAGGAAACCGGTGCCCATTGATGTAATGTAACTTGCCCATGCTCTTGGTTAGTGAACCGTTATCCCTTTCATAGTCTTCTGAATGCTACTTAAACAATTGAGAAATGTTTCCTTAAAGATGACAGAAGGATTTGAAAGTTTTTTACTGAAGAAGGGAAGTAAAACTTGTAAGTCATTGGGTTGTCTGTGACTGTCCTGCATTTAATTTAGCATTAAGCCAGTTATCAGTATCTGGGGCACTGCAGAGACCCTCCCAGGATTATAAAACATACATCTTGTTCATCTCAATATAAACAAACATGATTATGATGATTTGAACTGTTTGTAGCAGTAGAAAAGCTTAAGACAAATCTATGAGCTTTCCTTTTTCTTAGCTACCTAAATCCCAACTATGTAAATTATCTCCATTTCTTTAAATGTCTTATTTCATTTCTGTACAGCTAAACTTTTTGTCATGGAAAACTCCTGTTTATATTAAGTACCCAATAAGGTATCTTTAAAAAGGTGTTTGATTTTCATTTTGCTTTTGGGGGTATTGTCTCAGTCTAGGTCTGATCCTGAGAGAGGAGGCATACAGTAATTTGAACAGGGAAAGTTTAAGATAAAGAATTGTTAGCAATGACAGGGAATTGGAATAATGAGGGACTGCCTCATAAGAAATAGAGAAATCTCTACCAGATATAGGAATAGCAGATATAAGGAGTTTAGATAGAGCACCCAATGAAGAACCTCCTCCTAGCCACCACGCACCCCAGAACTGAAATCCAGACTTCGCTGGAGGGTTTGTGCCAGGGGATCTTGCTAGAAATCCATCCTCTAGGGTACTGGAAGAGCCTGTTCACAGTGTCTGACCAGGGACCCGCCCTTACAACATGCCTGAGGGGGTTCCTGCTGGCCGCTGTGTACTACAGCTGCTGAGTGGGGGGAGGCCTTCTGTGCCGGGTGGGGGTGCTGGACGCGGGAGCAGCCGCCCGTGCTTCAAGGGCCTAAAGTTGGACAAGCTGCCTGTGCTGAAGAAGCTGGGTAGGTATGGGGGGACGCTGGATTCTGAAGAGCCTGCCAATTTAATCCACTGAAGTAGGAACAAGACTTTCTTCCCTCAATGCCTCTCCAGCGCCCTCTACTGAGAAAGCCTAGCATGTTGTCAGCTACAAGGGGAAAATATTTAAAGGGCCCAGATGTGTTTCTGAGCAGGCATAGAGGATGAATTTAAAGCTGAGTTAATAAATTGATAACCGTGCAGTTATATTGGATACCTGCACAGGTTTTCATTATTACCACAAGTTTAACACCAATAGAATAGTCTTTCAGCAAAGAGCTGGGTCAGAGTGATGATCCTTCCTTGATTGGATAGACTGCTGCTAACTGGTTTACAGGTATGCACATTGCATCTTCTCTTTGAGAAGATTATTATTTCAGCTGTTTTACATATTGATGCCCATTTTAGAGTTCATTTAGTGACACTCTCCTTATAATATGCTTGTGTAACCAATTTCTATCCTTAATAAAAACTGACTCTTTAATCTTCAAAATGGTAGTAGTGATTGTTATTAAAATTTATTTTTGAAAGTTATTGATACCTAGGAAGATAATGTGGATTCTGTTCTGTTGTCAAGCCTAAACCCTCTTATGTGTCTGCCATTGGGAGAAAAACCTGTCATTTAATTAGATAGTAAGTTGGTACTTTTCAAAGAGGCTGCAGATGGTGATAAGAGCCATTATCAAATTAAAAAAGAAGATGTGTGAGTTTCAGCTCTTGATGAACAAAGGAAAAGAGTAGGAGAAAGGACTCTGAAACATTTGAGTAAGAAACTCCGGGATTTTTGTTGTGCTAGTCCTCTGGGTTCTGGAGACAACAGTGTGACGTTAACAGAAATGTTCACTGACTCTTTAGAATTCAACATGTAAAAAAAAAAAAAGAATTCAACATGTAGCCTGGCAGAGAAAGAAAGTAAACACGCCATTACAGCAGTGCTTGCTAAACACACACAGAAGCACTTGGGGTAAAGTTGGAGAGTCAGTTCTTACGTATGATATGTTAGTCATTTCCTAATTTTTAGCATAATTTTCATGGAAAAAGTGTGTTAAAGTTTTATCTACATTATTATTGAGGAGCAAATGAGCATAATGACAAAACTGATTCAAAAAGAACATAAGAAATGAAATTTAAAAGTCAGCAGGAGAAAGCACGTTAGTAAAAAAATTGCTAAATTAGAAACAAAACTTGTCAATGCCATAAACCTGACTTGGAAGGTTGTTTTCTCAGCTAAACAGAAAATAACCACACCTTAGCAGTTTTTTAAGAAGCTAAACTTCTAATTTTACAGACTTGTAAAATGTCATTGCCCTGATCAATTGTGATATTAAGTGAAACGAACTTATATTCCTCAAAAGAGATGACCAACAAATGGGCTTATTAGAGCTTGTCTAGCATGGCATTAAAGGTCACAAAATTATTTTTTGCCTTCTCTTCGTGTTTTGAGTAATTTTCTTCAGTGAGTGTCAGGAGAAGCTCCCAGAGCTTATGGATGAGAGCCTATGTATGGATGTTAGTCCAATGGAGGGATGAGATGGGAGAACAGGACAGTACTTGGTTTGGTAGATGAATGCCAAGTTTAGGGATGGCTGAATTTCTTTTTTAATGCTTTGTAAAAGAGGTCATTTATTGGATAAAATATAGGAATGCAAACACTGCCAAATCATCAGTAAAGATTTTACTCCAATATTTTCATTTTTCCAAATAATGCCTATTTACAAATCGTGGAATATTTGTGCTTTTTCATATATGAAATTTTAATTTAATATATGGAATTTTAATTTGTAGAATTTTAACTACATTTAGCCATTCAGAAGTTAAAGTTCTGAGTACATTGTCAATATATAAGCATGTTACTATTCAGAAATTAAAAATACAAATAAACCTTGGACAGACAGTGCATTTTGTATTGCTTTTATGTTACTGCCTTTCTCTGAGAACAGAGCATCTCTCAATTTCCACTAATAACCTATATAGGAACTAACTGGATGGCTCTTAAAAATGCTTTTACATATAAATATAAAATCATACTTCAAAATGAGAAGGATGACTGAATTTTGACAGCTTTAGCTATTATACACAACTTCTAACTTAGGACAAGATTCTTTCATTCCTCTATAGAAAACTCACATATATAAAGGAGTAAAGGGAAGGAAATGTCAAATTTGCCTTGAGAATTTCTCCATCTAAACCTTGTTAGTGACAAGGTATGGAGCTCCCCAAAGACAGTAGTTTAAGGAATGTAACTGTCCTGTCAAAATGTCATTACTCTAGGACCATTTCCTGGTATGAATATTGGCTTAGGAAACTCAAGTGGGAACTTTTCCATATTCTCCACTCACCCTTTCCCTTTTATCTTTTTATCTTTTACCTCCTCCAAACTGAGTGGTTCTGGAAAAGTTCCTCACTCCTCTAGCTTCAGTGTTCTCAGTTGTAATCTGAAAATAATACCTATTTTTCAGGGTCCTTGAGTTTTAGAAAACATGTTAAGCAAGAGATGGTCAAGAATAGTAGTTATAGCAAATTCACTGGCAGTCCGGTGATTAGGGCTCCACGATTTCATTGATGACAGCGTGGATTCGATCCCTAGTTGGCTAACTAAAGCACTTTCCTAAGCCACGCAGCACAGCCCGAAAAAAAAAAAAAAGAGTAGTGGTTATCATCTTAAGAACTTGGTAATACCAAGAAAAGCTCCCTCTGCTTGGGATACCTCATCTTAGAGCTGGCAGCAACGTGTTACCCAAACTGGAAAACAAAGAGTCATTCTGGGTTTCTTCTCCATTCCATTCATGTAGCTACCACCTTAGATCAGGCCTAGGTCGTTTCTTGCCTGGTTTAGAGGGTTGAGTACTATTTCCTCAAAATTCATGTCCTCTTGGAACTTCAGCATGTGACCTTATTTGCAAACAGGGTCTTTGGAGATGTGGTCAGTTAGCCCAGTGACTGGTGTTCTGGTAAGAAGGGGAGAGGATACTCAGGGGAGATACTCAGAGGAAACGGGGAACATGCTCTTGTGAAGACAAAGGCAGAGGGTGGAGGGACACAGCTACGAGGAAGGCCAAGGACGGCAGGGAACGGCAGGGACGGGGAGAGGCGAGGAAGATGTCTTCTCTGGAGCCTTCAGATTGAGCGTGATCCTGCCGATACTTTGATTTTAGGCTTCGAGCCTCCAGAACCGTGAGAGAATACACTTCTGTTGTTGTAAGCCACCAGCTTTGTGGTAATTTGTGACGGCAGCTCCACAAACCAACACACACGGCTTTCCTTCAAAAAACTCCTGATCCTTGCACTGACTGTCTGTGTGGGACCCTGTTGTATACTCTAAACCCCCCTCTCTGTGATAGGATTTCACTGTACTTTTTGTTGGTTTCTTGTCTCACTTTCCCACTACATGGCTGTGGACTCCTTGAGGATTAGAAATTTTTTATAAGTTTTTCTTATAAGATTTTTCTTCTTGGCCATGCCACGTGATTCTTAGTTCGCTGACCAGGGATTGAACCTGTGACCCCTGCAGAGGAAGCAAGGAGTCGTCCACTGGACCACCAGGGAATTTCCAAGGGCAGAAATTTTTGTCTTTTTTCTACTTTATCTATCCCCTGTTTATAACAGAGTGCCTGGCACAAAGCGGGCATTCCACAAATTATGAAATATATGAACAATTTCTGTGTTCCTCACAGAATTTAGTACAGGATTTTGTACTGAAATAAATGTCTTATAAACGTGTGTTCATTGGAATTTTCTGTCTTTTACATAGTTTTCCTACTTGCCAATATCATCAAGCTAATATCTCTAACCCTCTCTTTAGGATGTGTCCTCAATTCTTGTATCATTTCCTTTAGTATAGGAAATTCTAGCAAAACAAACTCAAGCAGGTTGGCCAGTTATTGCCCTGGCAGGAAAGCACTAGGCATGTTCCCTGAATTCCCTCCATTTGCCTAGCTCCTGACTAGGTTTCACCAGTAAGACAAAGATCGCTTGTGACTTAATTTGATAGTTATGAAGATTCACTAGGTCCTTCTATGCTGGTATCTGGCTGTTGCCAGCTCTAGGAGCTCACTGGAGAAGTTATGAAGATTCACTTACTTGTGTAAGTACATTAAGAACATCCCACAGTTAACATATTTCTGAGGAAAGCAATATGAGTAGAATATTAATACCTCCTTTTGATTTTCTATGGATTAAGGATGGGAGGAAATTAGTCTAACAAATATCTCACTGATTCAGATATTATGAGAAGATTAGGTTAAGGAGTAGGGACTTTTAGGGAGGGGGTGAGTAGAGGGACATAAAATATAAAAAAGGTTCTTTTTGTTGTTGGAGAAATTTGCTTAAAATAAATAATTTCTTGAGAATAAAAAGATAAAAATGTAAAAATGGTAGCCTTTTCCAGGGACGTATATGAAGATTGGGAGGAACAACTTGCTCCTGGTGAAGATAGATGTTTGAGGTTTATAAAAAACGTCAACCAAA